TTGAAATACCTACCAAAACACTTGAATACAGACATACTGTCAGTATGGAAATGCTTCTGTGCAGGTGTTAATCAAGTTAAATCCCAACAGCCAATCAGCAAGAAGTATAGAGGAAAGCTGCATGCCTATTGGTTGATGCCCTGCATTCCATTGTGATGACTCATGCCCAAACGTGGTAAACAAGGCAGACTAACACAGTAATACATTTGCTATAACACAGCCAAAAAACTCAAATAAAACCATTCTAAAAGCCTGTATCACAATAATTTAAAAAACGCCTAGGGGTATTTGCCCACTGTACCTCCATACCAAATTTCAGGACCTTAGGCCCTAAAATGAAGAAGCTGAATCCATTTAAAGATATGGCAGGAGGAGGAGAAGGAGGAGGAGAAGAAACATCAGAAAAAGCAATATGGTTTCACCACACCACTTCGTGGTGTGGTGAACCCATAAAAACTTAGACACAACAGGTCTTTAGACTGCCCTAGATATTACAGTTGAAGTTTCTTGACATTATTATAGACTGAAGCTTAAATCTCCATGTACAATAAAGGTTTGTTGAATTCTTACCCTATTAAAGCCCGTATAAATACTCATGTTAAAACATGTTCTAGGGAGTCCTAGGGAGACATTAATTTCAAATATTTTCAGATTTCAGTAATGTGATGAATACCAGAAGCCAATTCCTGGACATGGCGTGAGGGAAGGAAAGATGCGAAAAAATTCTGACATGTTACCTTCACAAGTTGGTGGATTTCCATCCCAAGTCAGATCTAACTGACAGGTAAGTGTAGAAGAACCGACCAGGTTGTACCCTGTGTTACACGTGAAGGTGAGGACGCTGTCGCCGTTCATAGTACCGTCTGTAGGTGCTGTCAGAGGGGGGCACTGTAACGCTGTGCATAGAGATGTACACATTGACTCATAAACAAAACAGTGAATACAAAATTTACAAATATGATGTACCACAATCAACCTTTTAAGGACTATCATTCAAAGTAAAAAAAAACAATATTGATATTAAATCTCTACTACCGGCTTCGCAGCAGATATACCATTTTTTATCTCGAAAATGACAGTTCTACTGTCTTCTACTGTCCTAAGTGTTCATTTTACAGAATGTCATCAATTTATATCCTTTATACTTTTTTTCACAAAGGAATTGTCAAAAATATACAGTTTCTGCCCTACGTGAAGATAACAAGGTACAACGAACAATTCGACTATATGCTGCCTACATAATTTGCTATAACATAATGTATTGATATTGTGTTGGAACTTCTTACTTTCGCAAGTTGGTGCGCTTCCGTCCCATGTGCCATTTAGTGTACAGAACCGTTGGTGGGAGCCATTTAGCTGGTATCCTGCGGAACATTCGTAGATGGCCATCCAGTGTTGGAACCCGCTGTAGAGCCATATCACGTCACCATTAACAGGTCTGGGGAGTAATGGGCAATGCAGCTCGTCTACAAAAAATACAGATTTTTGTTTATGTTTTGTGCCTCGATGATATATACAGAAGAACTTTATTGCACGACAATTACACATGGTACATTGTATGGCAAACTACATAAAGAGAGTAACAACAATAAAATAAGTGTGTTGAATAAGACCTAATGTCGAATAAAACCTAACATATCTATATCATAATCATTCAAATGATAAGGGATGTCACAAGTCTTTGATAAAGTGTTACAATCGAGTGGGCTAATCACAAGTTTCGGTATTTTTTTCTAATAGCAAAGCATTCCTTTATATATCTACCTATGTTTGCGTTGTGGGGACCATCACATGTAAAGATATGTTTCGAGACTCTTAAAATCTATGGTATTTGATTCGAGAAATGTAAATAACTTGTTACGTATAACATCATATTTGGTACATTCCATAACAAAATGAAATTCATTTTCTATATGCTTTGGACAAAATGGACAGAACCTTTGGTCAGGGGCTATATTGTAATATCTACCTGTTTCAATATTCAATTTATGGCTACTGATTCTTAATTGAGTTATTGCTTTACGAATTTCAAAGTTATCTATATCACAAAGGTATGTTTCTTGTTCATAACAGTTTTTTTAATTTGCTAAGAAAAGACAGCTTAGAATTATTTCTAATGCAACTAAACCACTCTTGTATATGCGTATCTTGTAGCCGATGGCGAAGATGGTGTGTAATATAATCTACTTCATAAGCTTCAGGTTTCATATGTCCAAAGCCGTAGTAGTTGAGAGTGTCTTTAACATGATTAATCCAGTCGTGGTCATCAGCAAATACAGTTTTGTATGCATCATAAAGCAGAGAGTCCTCAGGTAAGTTTATCAAACGGTGCCAGTATTAATTGACCTGAGTTTTAGCACAAAGCATGAATGAATGAATACATAAATAAATAAATAGCAATAACAAAAGCAGGTCAACATCATCAGGTCCATAATGGTTCCATAAGGCTCTGCCACAGAGACAAAAGCAGCTTGAAAGTTTGTTTGTTTATTTATTTATCCTGGAAATACATATCGCCTGTGAGAAGTTGTGAGAGAAGGTGAACGTAGCCATTGAAGGACATGTGCAAACTTAGTGTTAGGTGATTTTTATTACACAGCTGTACATAGTGATTTGCTTCTTCACGTCGGCAGAACGTCCTGTGCTGCACAAAACTAGGATTTTTCTCGGTTTTCTTTAGATTGCAGGCGATATCTTTCCAGACACATCATAGGACGAAAATAGGATGCCATCATAAAATACGCCAATACAACCTTAAACGAAACGTTTTGCTGAAATGCTTGGGTTCGAATGTCCGAGTTTGGGCTCTGTTTTTCACTTTTTCTTTTTTTTATTATTTTTTTTTATTCCAACATGTAATCACCAGACGTGGTGACGGCACACTCAAGTTTTTCAACTTATATTAATGCCTCCACCAACACAGGGGACAAATACATGACAGGACAGTACTCATTTCCACCTGAGTTAAGTGAGGAAAGTCGTGTAAAGTGCCTCTCCCAAGGGCACAAGATCGGTGGCATGTCAGGACTCGAACCCGGGACCTCTAGGTTGCGAGTCGCGCACTCTGCCGCTACGCCACACGACCCCACGATAATCTTTATTATTTCCACGATGCTGTTGTATAATTGCAATAAAAACGTGCTTTTTATCTGAAAAATATCCATAAAGTTCCGAAATAGATTATCTTGAAGTCGAGTATTCCAAAAGTTTTAATAAAGTTCTTCAGTGCAACTTCAGGGCGGCAAAACTAAAAATTATTCTGGATGAGGAAACTATATTTGTC